CCTGTCCCTGTTCCTCCCTGTCTACAAGCTGTCCTAATCTTGAAAGGCCCTGGCCTGACTGGCCCTGCCCTTCCCCATTTTCCTCTGAAGCCAACGAAGCTACCCCCTCAATCTCTGTCCCTCAATCTCCGGCTCAGTTCCAGCTCCTCTTCCTCTGCAGATTCAGGCTGCTGATGTGTCAAAGTATGTATTTAGATCCAATATTCTTTGTAGTCTTTCACACCTCCACCAAGCATGTCTGTCTGTCTTCAAGTGGTAGCATCTAGCTGGCCTTGTGTGAGTTTAGAAGTTATAAATATGGCCAGATCTGATTGCTGTTTGGGTGGGAGACCACTCGGAGATCCGTGGATGGAGGCAAGACTGAAAAATCGAAAAAGAAAATTGGGAAATTGCTTTTAGGTGATTGAAAGAAAATGATACGGATACAGCCACACAATTAGCAGGAGTTGAGCTGCAATTGAATGCAATTTATATGGATATGTGATGGTACTGCATGGATATAAGTGTGTACATTGAAGTCTGAGACTTGTGTGATCAGTTGCTTCCTCCATGGGAGCCTGAGAAAGCTTACAGGGGAAGAAAATTTCTAAATTTTTGTGCAACAGTACAGGAAACGGGGTTTGAGTTGTTCTCGGACCCCGCCATGTGCACGTCACACCCTTAACACAATTCTGGAATCCACCCCTACTGCAGGGTTTGTCAAATCTCAATGGCTTTAAGATGGGTGGACTTCCAACTTTCAGAATTCCCCCTGCCAACATGCAAAACACAACACAATTTGGGTGCAGTCATCAGTTTCACTTCATTTGTGAGTGTTGGAAGGTTATGGCATGATTTTTGGACCTTGGTTTGGGAGGGCAGAAAACAAGACAGACATTTTGCAATATCCAGGCTTTGCTGAATATCTTTTTTTTTTTTTTTTGAAGCCTATAATTCTGTGGCTTGCATCTGATTTCTGATTAAACTGTTTGAACCCGACTCCAATCTGCAGAGTCGGCACTGATGGTCAGCAGCCCTGGACAGCTGCTGTGGTCATCCGGAATTAAGAAGGGCAGCTAACTTAGTTTGTATTAAGAAAGAAATGAAGGTACTAAGGTAGACACTAGGAACTGGAAAAATAGTATTATGTAAGCAAATTAATCCAGACAACATGCTGTATGTAAAGAGAAAATGTATAATAATATAATAACAATAACAATAATAATACGTAACAGTAGTTGAGAAGAAAAGGGTTTGGTTCATTGACATTGCAATACCTGGTGATGCACAAATTGTAGACACGCAGCAAGAAAAAATCACAAAGTATCGGGACTTACAAATTGAAGTTGAGCAACTTTGGAAAAATAAATCATGTGTTATCCCAATTGTAATTGGAGCCTTTGGAGCAATACCTAAAGGGCCGCCTCGCTATTTGGAAATCCTGAATTTATCAGACTTGAATACCCTGATTCTACAAAACCCACCCTACTTGGAACAGCTTATATCCTCCAATGCTACCTGAACAGTTCCTAGGTCCTTGGTTAGGACTCAAACTGTTGAGCTACCAACCAGCCCCAAAGACTGTGAATCTCACTAACGATTAATAATAATAATAATAATAATAATAATAATAATAATAATAATAATA